ACAACTCTATAATCCCAACTTAACAATTTACACAATATTCCTCAATATCAATTTATTTTTCTCAAAAATAAATTCTAAAATCAAAGATAAAAAAATAATTCAACTTTATATTTCTCAAAATAAATCATATAATCATAATATGATGTAAATACAATCATACAACCTTTAAATTTTATTTTTGGATTTTTTTTAGTACAAAATTAACAACACAAAATGATTTTCCCAAAATCAATCTCAAAATGCCAACATTCTTAACATTTCAACATAATTTTTCTTCCAAAAATTACCAAACAAAAATTTGAAAATTATATATATATATATATGCAATACCTCTTAAAATGACATATTTTCTTAAAATAACCCTAACATAACTTTAATGTAAAAATATGAAGGAAGTCCCTACCTCAAACAATGAAGAAGAGCAAATCTGGAAGGAAAATCTTACTCGATCACGAATCCAAGACTATCATTGCGAAGATCACGACGAGCTCTCCGACATTCATTTACAACACTTTTGCAAAATCTCACTCTAAAAACTCCCACTCTAAGCTTAAAGCTTAAGCCAACAATGGAGGAAAAGAGAGAGAGAGAGAGAGAGAGCAGGAGCTCTCTGCTCCACACACCAAATGAAATGCATAAAGAAAGGAAATGAAAAGATGGAAGGAAAAAGTGGGGAGGCAACCCACGTGGGTTTACTTCCCAAAGTTTAGTTTCCCCAAAAATATAATTTTTGTAATAATATCTCAAAATTTTATAATATAAATTATAAAATGATATAATTTTTCTCACCACAAAATATAACATTTTTGTATATCACAAAATATAATATTTTGTTCACTACGAAATATACACATTTTCATTCTTTATAAAATATATAATTTTTCACCATATGGTACACACTATAAAATGAACTATTAAATATTTATTATAACTCCTATATAATAAATAATAACAACTCCCAAGATGGTTACTATCAATCATAAAATTAAAAAGGACCAAATAGTTAAACATGAGTCACTAAACAAACTCAAATTAAATTAAATCTAAGTCATGGTCCCACCCATAAGCTAAACATGGTCTAATTATATACCAAAATAGACCCAACAAATTTATCCAAATCATGATCTAAACATTCAAAATTAAATAACAAAATTCTGCTATAAATTAAACTAAACACCAATCAGTCCATGAATTTTTATAAAATAAATACTCATCAATAAATTCTGAAATTTTTACCCAACGTGATAGACTTGTATGTGAAAAACATATAAAAATTTCATAATTTTTTGAGATCGGGAACTATTTTAAAAAAAATACAAAACCGAACTGTTTTTGCACAGAATTTACATAGCAGTCAAATTCGAAAATTTGCTCAATTAAATTATGCATTGTCTATTTAAAAAAAAAAATTATGGGTCATCACAAAAAGAAAGACTAGCTCTTACAAATAAGCCCTTGGTTATACAAAGGAAATATATAATCAAAACAAGAAGCCCGTGCTTCCAAAAGTCCCTCCAAGCTATTACCTTGGCGGATGCATGCCCTTAATACCTGAAACTGTTATCCCCAAATAGGGTGAGCCACATCCAAGTAGGAATCATCTAACATAGTATATGAAACTTATCAAATGTATAAGTACACTATGCATATACAACGTCAGTGATAGAACATCCACACTTCATATTGTCATAAAATACCAAATTTAATTCTTAATCCATTTTCATTCAATTCATTTCACTACATGAACCAATTTCATCATTTCTTTAACAATCCAAATGAGACTACAACTCATTAGTTCTACAATCACATCATCAATGTATAAACACATCAAACTTTCCTTTCACAGATATTTCGTCTGCGAGAAACTGTCAAACGGGACCCACGTAAACGTAGGCTATACAAGCACTACAATTACCATTTTATGCATATTTCGTCGGCGGGATCGGCACCCATGTAAAATTTCGGGACTTTCACCCAGGACACTCCGGCCAACTTAATTATAATGGAGTCCATCCCCTTTCTCCTCTTAAACAATCATTCATACATATACAATGTATTTAAGAACATAATCATACGTAGAGCACATCCCCTTTTCACTCTCAAATAACCATACATATACAATGTATATAAACATAGTCATCTTCAATGACAACCACAAGAGATTAGATTTAATTTACCTAATCCGCATGTAATTTCTACAACAATCATAGCTATCCTCCACCGATAGCCCAATACAGATATTTTTAGACAGATATACAATCTCATGACAGATAATTTATCCAAAATTTCCAAAGATGTGAAGTATTACCTACTCAATTCCATCATCTATTCCAACAATTGCTCAATTTCATGTTTACCCCACCAATTTCAATTATTTATATGAAGTAGTTATGATAGTCATTTTAGGGCAAAAATTCCCTTTTTCCAAATATTAACCCAAGCATCAAACCCAACCATTTTGACCCAACATAATCTCATTTTCACAACCCATATTTATTTATTTCATATTCAACAACAATCCCTCTTTCCATATCATACCCAAACCTTAGGTTTGCTTGAAACACCCTCAAATCACATCATTGTTACACAAGAGACAAATAACTAAGTTAAATATCATATGAAGGCGTAGAAAAGATCCCTACCTCAAAAGAAGAAGATGAGCCCCACAAGAGAGAAACTCCAAGGACAACGAAACCCACTCCTATTCGGATCAAATTGAAGGTCTTGATGCACTTTATCTTTTTCTCAAAGGCACTAAGGTGAAAAGATCAACGAATCCAGATGAAATCTAAGAGAGAATGAGAGTTTTAGAGAGAGAATGTGTAAATCTAGATTTTTGGAAGGTTTTAGAGAGAGAAAGATGAAAAAAGTGATTCAAAACATCATCTTCACGGATTGTTATACACGCAGTCCTCTCGAGCGTCAGACATAAAGACTCGCTCGAGCGTAAAAAGTGGTGCTCGAGCATGGAATGCACATTTCCAGAAGTCTTACAGACGAAGGACCCCGCTTGAGCGTGAGCCTGGACGCTCGAGCGTCCAATGCATTCTCCTAGTATTTGCAGAACTACAAAAAAAAATACTGAAAGTTGACAAATCCCGTTCGAGCGCAAGAATGGCCGCTCGAGCGGAGGAGCAAAATTTGTAAAGCCCGCTTGAGCTCAAGAATGCCCGCTCGAGCAGAAGAGCCAAAATCTAGGCATCACAGGTTTGAAAAAACAAGCAACCAACCTGTTCTAAATGCATAATTACAACTCGATAACCAAAATAGAGGGGAGACAAGGGAAGCAAGACATGAATAACCATTCTAAATCATACCAACCCGAGTCCGAAATACAACAAGTAATGGGTCAAAACCGGAATCTCTATATGCTTAAAATTAATAAAATCAGTATGATTAAATTGGCGAATCGGGCAAACTCAAAATGGTTGTCACTCTTAAGAAATCAACGCATTGAAAGATCTTTGATCTCCCCTAGGAACAAGTCTAAGAAAGCACTTTTCCCTACCAAATTCTCTATATATCCCTGCCTGGTTCTTCGATTCGCTGAGCTCTGAGCTCCTCTGGCAAATCATGATGTGCGCACGTTGGCTACTCTACTTTAGTAGAGCGTTAACTAGCAGTCTACTACTGATTAAGGATTTGGTACTAACACCTGTCTTACTAACTATAAGTCTTTTGAAAATAGATATTATTGGATAGGGTATACTCCTTTTGCTTACAACTTTATCAAAGACTCAGTGACTTGGGAAATCCCGAGATCGGGATCAAGCTACAACCTGTGGATCGTCAAAAAGGCCGTTTTCCTGCTTGCAGAAAGCCCTTTTTTGACAATTTGCTTTATGAATGTGAGGGATTAATACACACTCAAGTAAAAGAGCTTGTTTAGGTCCATTATGGAAAAAAAAAACCCTGTAATAGGGGGCTGTCCCGCTTTCCCGAGCAAGACGAAGTGTACGCCCAGGAGGCAAGGAACTTGATGGAGGATTTAGAGATCTCTTAAGCACCAACCCTTATAAACATACAGTATCCAAACTGCCCAGCAATTCCATTTTGGAATTTTTATAGCAGTTCTATTTTGGAATTTTTTTATTTTTTATTTTTGGTGCCTCTCTTAGAGAGGTTAAAGGTTCGAAACTCTGTGCTGCTGATTAACTTTTAAAATAACCATGACGTCCAAAAAACGACATGCTTTGAGCGTATAGTAGATGCAGTAGCATACCCACATCCTTTTTAAAAAGAATCTGAGGGTACGACATCTTTTCATCATCTATATGCATATTCAATAAAAAAAAAAAAATTGGTTGTTAAGAGGGCTTGAACCCAAACAAGCTAGAGAGAAAAAAGGGTCTTCAACCACTGTCCGACTTAGTCGACTCATTAATATTTTGGACATATATTGTATTTATTGCAATCTATATTCTAGATAGAAAAAAAATATATAATCTACTATTATTAAAATACAAAACAACGATTCAAGACAAAACGTAGACTCAAGAAAGTAGACAATTTTTTAGAGTATGTGATAATTTATCTTATTGTTGATGTTATTTTTGTGCTATTTTTATTTTTATTAGACTTTATATTTAGTAGTGCCGACATAGAAGATGGTGTACTTGAGGAGTTGGCCAAGAATTCCATGCCATGTGTTGAAATGGAATTTGATTTAGAGGAAGTTGCATATGAATTCTACAATATGGAAGGATTGTAGGATTTAGTATTAGAAGAGATTACCATACAAAAAGTCAGAAAAATGGTATCATGATTAATAGAAAGTAAAAAAAGATGGTATCATGATTAATAGAAAGTTTGTTTGTTGTAAGAAGGGAGAAAAAGAAAAAGATAAACGGTACATAATAGTAAAACATCCTCAACATGAGACAATAACGAAATGTAATGCATTCATGTATATATCTTTTAGATGGGACTTGTCAAAATGAGTTTTGATGAAGTTTGATGATAATCACAACCACCTTTTGCATATTCCTCAATATACGCATATGATGCCATCTCAGAGAAAGTTGTGTGATGCTCAAGGTATAAATTTCGATGTAGCTGATGATACTGGTATATCACTTAATGCATCACATGATCTTATTAGTGCCTTAGCAAGGTGGAAGGAAATTGTAGGGTTTACGCAGGAGGACCAAAAAACGTACTTGCGTGCAAAAAGGCAACGAAACTTGCAATATGGTGAAGCAGGAAGTTTGTTGAGATATTTCCAGCAACAAGCCATTGAAAATCCATATTTTTACTTTGCATTTCAGTTGGAAGTTGATGAGATGATTACTAACATTTTTTGGGCTGATCATCAAATGATTACAGATTATGGCATTTTCGGTGATGTTGTGTCACACAACATTCCGAACAAACACAGAGTACCGTCCACTTGCTTTATTTATTGGCTTTAACCACTTCAAAATGACTGTGATTTTTGGTGTTGCATTATTATATGATGAAACTACAGCATAATTTGAGTGGTTATTTGAAACTTGTTGGACAATCTTCACTGTATTTAAAAGATTTAATTCTATTGTGTACACAACAACAAATAGAATTTAAAGAAATAAAGAAAAGGAGAGAATTTGTTTGATTACAAAAATCAAACTCCAAATAAAAATAAATAAATAAAACTACAGATTTTATTTTGTTACAAAAACAAAATTAAAATCTGATTAAATAAACAAATAAAAACAGAATTAAATTAAACAACTTACTTGGTTAATTTATATGAATAATTTTTCTGATCAAGTCCAGTGTTTAACACTGTGTCCTTAAGACAGATTCGTCCTCTCCACGGTGCTTTCAGAATTTGGACGTCTATCTCCCAGGATGAAATGATCTACTACAAACAATAGCAGCACTACTAATTGTTTGCCTTACGAACACACTAAGTGTTTACACTCTTTCTTTCGGAAATAAAATGGCAGCAAGGATGAAAGAATATACAATAGGCAAGAAGTGGAAAATACGAATTTTCTGAAAAATTGAAACATCAAATGAGGGTGGTCCTATTTATAGATGTGTGAAAGGTGGCTCTTGGTTTGAATTAAACAGAGTATGTAGCTCTTGGTTTTGAATTGAACAGGTATCATACCTGTTGTGGTTTTTGAATTTCAAACAGATTTGAATCAATTCAAACAGATAGTAAAACGGGAAGGCCCTGTTTGGGTGTGCATTAATTCCAAACAGTTTATTTCTGTTTGAAACCGGAAAGGGCCCTGTTTGGATGAACAAAAAATCCAAACTAATTTAATTCTGAATTCTGGATTTTATTTTAATAAAAAATAAAATTAAATTCAAATGTTTTTTGGCCCAAAAAGATTAGAAGCCCAACCCAACCACACACCACGCACCCGCGCCCTAAGCCCAGGCCCAGCCCAGCCCGCCGACGACCGGATGGACGGCGGCGGCGGCGCGGCGCGCGTGTGGTGATTTTTGGGTCCAATGGGTCTAGCCCATTTGCCATAAACCTCTCCCTCTAAAACACTTGGGTACCCTTGGGACACACCCAAGTATCTCACCTAAGCCTTATAAACCTTTCAAAACCTCCCACCAAATCATGTGGGACAAGCCAATTTACAACCTTAAGGAATTTCCACCAAAACTTCATTTCCATGGAGCACACTTTTGGCTTTCAATTTCCCATTCACTCGGTAATGTTTTGAGCAACCAAATATTACCACGTGAATCACAACGCGGCATAGAACGCGTTACCACTTTGACCCGAGTAAACGACACTCGGGGCCCACCTAAAAAATAGACCGAACTTAGGAAAAAATTCTGGTTTTATCCAGAATTTTATAACCATTCCAACAATCCCCACATGAATGGAATTTGATGACAAGGAAAGCAACAAAATGCAGACTTAAACGAAAGAGTATAAGTCGAAAATATCTTGCATCAGGATAGGTAGTTTTCGGCTTTGAACCTTCCCTAGTGATAACCTATCGGACTTACTAGCTAACCAATGGACGCGATGCTTGAATTGTTCAGACCGTTTGTGTAAGCCAAGACAATAGATTTCACACAAAATATCTTCTAACACATCGTGGTTCTCACTGTTGTGTTCATTTTTGGCCTTGAACGCACCTGGTTTTCATAAGTGTTTCTAGAGAATTTAGCCTTTTCATTCTCATAGAACCGGCCCCAGTTCAACACTCATATAGGTGATTCTTATTATGAGTATCTCCTTATACTCATCTTGATTTTATGTCTTAATCAAGATATAAGTAATCATTAAAAGTAAAGCTTATCCTTATACCCCTGCAGACAACATATGTTGCAGATATCACTCTCACCATAGGAATGGGTAGGAATTTTAATCCCTTGGTGATTTCTGGCGAGCCATACATAACTTAGTTGTCCCTTTGAACTTAGTTCTTGGGATCTCCAGTCATATAAGTAGGGTTACCATTATGACGACTCTTATATAATAGGCTTTAAATCCCATCCCCTTCGATGAAACTATACACTAGCTCTTTTGTCAAACCTTTTGTTAACGGATCCGCAATATTTCTTTAGATTTTATATAATCTATTGAGATTATTCCGTTTGACAACAATTGCCTTACGGTATTATGTCGACGACGAATATGTCGTGACTTACCGTTATACATGTGATTCTGTGCCCTGCCTATTGCAGATTGACTATCACAATGAATGCAATAGCTGGCACAGGTTTTGGCCACATTGGAATGTCTTCTAAGAAGTGACGAAAGCCATTCTGCTTCTTCACTGCTTTGTCTAAAGAACTGAACTCGGATTCCATTGTGGATCGTGCGATGCAAGTTTTGTTTCGTGGACTTCCAAGAAACAGCAGCGCCTCCTAGAGTAAAGACATATCCACTAGTGGATTTTGAATCTTTAGTATCCGAATATCCAATTGGCATCACAATAACCTTCGAGTACTGCTGGATATCGAGTAAAGTTCAAACCATGATCACGAGTAAATCTTAGATATCTAAGAACTCGAATGATCGCTTTCCAATGGTCTCTCTCCAGGGTTACTAGTGTACCTACTCAATTTACTGATAGCATAAGCTATATCAGGACGAGTACAATTCATTAGGTACATTAGGCTTCCAATGATTTGGGAGTATTTTAACTGTGACACTGTATCACCTTTATTTTTTGATAAATAAAGACTGATGTCTACAGGTGTTCTAGCTAATTCAAATCATCCTTGATAAATTTATCAAGAATTTTCTCAATATAATGAGATTGAGAAATGCATATCCGTCAGATGTTTCAAATCTTTTGTAGCATCTGCTTAGTTGATTTGATCATGTTTTGAACTGTCTTCCAATGATAAACATGTCCATCCACATAAAGACAAACTATGACATATCCTTGGTCAGTGTTTTTAAACATAGACGCATTGTCACATTCGTTTATCTTAAATCCCATTAGTAAGCATTGCTTGATCAAATTTTTCATGCCATTGCTTAGGTGCTTGTTTTAATCCATATAGGGATTTTACAAGTCGAGCAAACTTTCTTTTCTTGCCCTGATATACTACCCTTCGGGTTGTTTCCATATAGATCTCTTCATTTAGATCACCGTTTAAGAAAGCTGTCTTACATCCATTTGATGTATTTCTAAATTAAACAACGCTGCTGATAATGTAATAAGCATGCGAATGGATGTTTATTCTTGTCACAGGGGAATATGTTCAAAATAATCCAGACCTTCCTTTTGTCTGTAACCTTTAAACACAAGTCTTGCTTTATACTTGTCAATTGAACATCTGCTTTCATTTTTCTCTTGAATATCCATTTAATATCCAAGAGGTTTAGAACCTGGTGGAAGATCCACCAATTCCCAGTATGATTCTGCATAATGAATTCAATTTCATTATTAACAGCCTCTTTCCACAAAGGTGCTTCAGGACCTGTCATTGCTGCTTAAGGCTTTGAGGTTCATTTTCTAATAAGTATGTCAGAAAATCTGGACCAAAGGATTTTGATGTTCCGCTCTTTTACTGCGTCTTGGTTCATCATTAGTTAAATCCTGTTGGTCGAGACTATTACTAGTCTCTTGTGTTTGATTGTCATAGTCTTTGACTTTGTGTATAATCATAAGTTCTTTTTCTGTGAACTTAATCCCTGTCCTTTCTTGTAAGGAAAGGACATGTTCAAAAACACAAGCATTCCTTGACTCTATAATAGTGTTCACATTTATATCAGGTATATCTGTTTATAAAGTCAGAAACCGATATGCACTACTACTTTCTGAGCATAACCAATAAACACACAGTCTAATTGTTTTTGGTCCAATCTTAGTCTTTTTAGGAATAGGTACTTCAACTTTTGCCAAACACCCCACACTTTTAAGTATTTGTAGGAAGGTGGTCGACCTTTCCATAATTCATTAAGGAATGCTTTTGGTTTTCTTGTGGGGTATTCTATTAAGAACATATTAGCAGACAATATTGCTTCCCCCACAAGTTCTGTGGTAAGCCTGAACTTAGTAACATGGCATTCATCATTTGCTTTTAGAGTTCTATTCTTCCTTTCAGCAATTCCATTTTGCTGTGGAGAATAAGGGGCTGTAGTTTGGTGAATAATGCATGATTGTGCACAAAATTCATTTAATGTGTGCATCATATTCACCACGCCTATCACTTCTAATATAAATCAATGAATTTTTAAACAAATTCAAGAAAAAACCAAAATATTATGACTACTAAGTCAGAATTAATGTTTTACAAAGTTATATCCTCATAAAAAATTTTGCCTAAGAATCAAACATCAAAACCTATTTGATTGTATACATTCTTGCAACTCAATAAACAAATTAAATGTCACTGTCATAAACATATTTTGTGACTGAAGAAAATTAAATTATCCCAACTAATGCAAGAGATACACCCCCATATTAATAAAATGGTTCATGGTTTAACAAATTCTACTACGCAAATAAAATAATTATTAATGACATCTCATGTCACATAATTCAATAATCAACATAAAAGATGTCTAAATTACTTCCAATTAAACGGACCGATATAATTACATACATCTTCATGTTTAAATTTCTCTGGTGGTTTAACACCCATTCAAAAATGATTAGAAAATATTCAAATTAACCTGCTTATGTCCTAAGTCACATCATAACAAATTTATCATTCCAAATCACTTTGAAATATTATTGTTAAGAAATAACTTGAGTTTGATATCATACATGCAAATTCAAACGCATTCAAACTAAAAATAATGAAAATTAACAAAATAAATTAATCATGCACGATCCCATCACTTGCATCATGAAATAAAAGGATTCTCAATCATAAATAAAATCCAACGCATTTTAAACTTTCAAACTTCAAATGACAAAGCATACCTTCATTTAATAAGTTTGACTTTGTACATAAATAAACAAATTAAATATGATTAAAATGTTTTTGTGAA